GTGCTGTCAAGTCAGTTCTGACTCAAAGTGATCCTGTATAGGATTTCTAAGGAGTAGCTGGTGAGTTTGAGCCTCTGACCTTGTGGTCGAATGTTTATCCTGGTGTAGTCACACCAGGACTCCAGACAACGCAGCAACCTTTATTTATTATGTCATAATGGAATCATACAATTAAGCAATTATGAAAACGTGACCAACTTTAATAGAGCGTATATTGAAACCAACAGCATAGGGGACAAAACAAATCCTAGTGTTTATTCTAGTTACTTTTAATAAGTCAGGATATGAAAAGTAGTACAGTTTCAAGGATCCTGGCTCATAGACTGCTATTGTTGCTGTTAAGTGCCATTGAGTCAGCTATGATTCATAGTGACCCAGTATAGGGTTTCCCAAAGTGTGGCTGGCAAGTTTGAACCACCAACCTTGTGCCTCAAACCAACCTTTCAGTCTAGTGCTTTATACCATAGCATCTCATCAGATAGGGTGCTATGCTGTTGTTGTTGTGAAGTGCTGTCTAGTCAGTTCCGACCCATAGTGACTGTGTATAGGGTTTCCGAGGAGCAACTGGTGAGCTTGAACTGGCAACCTTGCATTTCAAATGGCTTTGCAGTCTGGCTCATTAACCCACAGCGCCACACCAAGGACTCCTAGGATACTATGTTGTTGTTGTTGTTGTTGTTAAGTGCCATTGAGTCGACTCCGACCCATAGCGACCCTGTATAGGGTTTCTGAGGAGCAGCTGGTGAGCTTGAACTGCCAACGTTGCAGTTCAAATGGCTTTGCAGTCTGGCGCATTAACCCATAGCGCCACACCAGAACTCCATTAGAATGCTATAGACCTCTGTATTTATGAAACAGTAGTTTAGCAATTGTGCACTTGGAGTCTGACATAATAGGAAAGCATATCAAAAGTCTTTAGGAGATGTGGTGGCTTAATTTAGAGCTTGCTGGGTAAGCTAAATAAAGTGATTCTCAGAGTTCAACAAGTTCCTTGATTAAAAACATTAAGAACTAAAGAGTCCTCATAGATAGAATCTTAGAGCTACCATTGAGTAACCTTGTGAGCTGGGCATACCAAAAAAGACCAACAAAAACAAAACCCAGACTACTCCCCTTGAGTCAATTCTGATTCACAGGTGCCCTATAAAATGAAGTAGACCTGCCAAGGTTATAGATCTGTGCAGTAGCACCCTGCCACATCTTTCCCCTCATAGAGTGGCTAGTGGGTTCAAACTGCTGACCTTTTTGTTCATAACAGAGTGCTTCAACCGCTGTGTTACAAAGGTTTCTTAAATTCTCCTTAGTTCTGTTTCCCTAATATGAAAACTGTGTGATATATAGAAGAATAGTGGGAGGAATAACAGACTCTTAAAGCAGTCTAATAACTAAGAATAGCTTGTCCCCAAACTCACATTAATTCTCAAATGTAGAGGGTTTTGTTTTGTTTTTGAAACATTGCTTTTGGACATGTTTCAAAAACAGCTTTCAACATGGTGGTGGCGATGGTGGTGGGATCACCTGGTGACTACTGAATGTGTTGTTGTTGCGTGCCATTGAGTCGGTTCTGAAGCTAGAAATCTCTAGAGGAGCAGAATGTCTTATCTTTCTCCCATGGATCAATTTGAGGATTCAAACTCTAGATCATGCTGTTAGCAGTTCAACACATAACCCACTGCACCACTAGGGCTTCACAGAATAAATTAGAGACATAAAACCCTGATTATAGTGATATCCTGCATCAGTCTTCTAGCCTCTGGTCAAAATTCAGAGGAGCTTTCCATGTTCCAAAGGTCAAATCAGGTCTTACTCTTGTGAAGGTCTTCTACGGTGGTTTCAGAATTTGTGTAAAGTTCTTATATGTCACTGGGTGAATCACACCAGTGCTCTCCAGCAAGTGAAGTAAGTATTGGCTCATTGTGAATGGCTGCAGTCTAAACAACGGTTCTCTGAATTGATGTCAAAGAAATTTGTTTTCTGATTAAACTTCTGCAATCTCCACAGTGGATTCTCCTCCTCCTTTACAACCCTTTTGTGCCTTACCTTGCCTTTTCTCCATTCAAATCCATATGCAGACCTACCCTCTTTACGTACCATTCTTCTCTTTATGTAGTGGTTCTCAATGTTTAGCTTGTATCAGAATTGTCTGGAGGGCTTGTCTAATGCAGATTTTTGGGCCCAGGATTTCTGATAGGGTAGATCCAGAAGCCCAAGCATTGGTGTTTTCAACAAGTTTCATATGATACTATACTCTTGTCCAGGACCATACTTTAAGAACCTGGGCTTTAGAGTTGTATGTGTCCAATACTATAGTAGGCCCTGTTGTTGTTGTTAAGTTCCATTGAGTCAGTTCAGACTCATAGCGACCTCGTATAGGGTTTATGCGGAGCAGCTGGTGAGTTTGAATTGCAGACCTTGATTAATTAGTTAAAATGAAATAAAATGAAAAATTCAGTTCCTCAGTCACACAATCACATTTCAAATGCTTAATAGCCATATGATGTGATGTTGTAGGATAAGCACGGGACTGCAAGTTAGTTTTAAACTGAAATGTTGGCAGTTCAAACTTACTAGTTGCTCCTTGGAAACCCTGTACAGGGTCACTATGAGTCAGAACAGCCTCAACGGCAGTTAACAACAATAACCACATGTGGCCAGGGCCTAACGTGTTGGATAGTGCAGATGAGAACATTCCCATTATTGCCAAAAGTTCTATTGAGCATCCTACAGCCTGCTTTAAACTAGTCTCAGGGCTTCTACCTATGATTGGAAGCTCTTCAATTGGGCTTCCTGAGGAAACACTACAGTTAGAGGAGGGAGCTGCGAGTCACAGGCCTCTCATTACTGTTCTGTTCCCAGGGCAAGTGAATCTCCCTGCACTTGAATTTCTTCATTTGTAAAATGGGGATGATACTAGTAATAACCACTGTAGGGTTATTTTGAGACTATAATGAGGTGATACATGTGAAAGCACTTCGTAAACTCTACAGTGATATGCAAATTATAGCTATTATTCCATTTCACTTCTCTACCAATACCAAGCACACACATCTAAAGCCCTGCCTCATACTATCAAATCAAATTCTTTCCAAGTATTCACTTTCTTTAGCCTGCAATGTTCAGTCGCTTAGACCTGTTTTATTTGTTTGTTTGTTTTGTCATTTGAGGAAGGTGGGGGCTTACTGTTTCTATTAAGTCTCTAAAGAGGCTGTTATGGGTTTGTAGAACCAGGGTTTTTTTCCCCAGGTCTTTGCTCCAATCAGCAAAGATAATGTTTACACATATATTTTGTGATGAACCAAACTTCACCACATGTAAACATTTAAAATGTTTTAGGATACTGCCATTGATTTTAATTCTAGGTTGCTAGACAAATATATTCTAAGTGACAGAAAAAAATTAAGCTAGTCAACTTTCTTCCTTGACAATTATCTAAGAGACAGTGTGTAAAAAAACAATGCTGCAAAAAGGAAAATGGCATTTCTTGTAGCATCCAAAAAAATCTAAGCCTGATTCTGAACTCTAATCTGAGTTCTTTTTTTTTTTTTTCTTGGCGCTTTCTACTATCTGGAATGAAAGGATCAGTTCAATAGGTTTCCACTAACTGAGTTGAGGAATAACTACATCATTGACTTAGGAGATAAGGGAGTGAGAAGGACTTCACATGGGACCCAGGGAAGGAACACTTCTGATTTGAACAGCTTAAAGAGTTGATTCACACTGAGAGTACAACAATGAATTTCTATTCCTAAACTACTCAACTTTCAGAAAACGGTATTTCAAACTAAAACTTCTAGAAGACATAGCAAAATGACAACTACAGGCATACCTTAAAGATGCTTCAGGTTCTATTCCAAACCCCTGAAATAAAGCAAGTATCACTATCAAGCAAGTCACACATTGTATGGTTTCCCAGGGTCTATAAAAGTTATATTTGCATTATGTTGGTGTGGCACTGTGAGTTAATGTCTGAACTGCAAGGTCAGTTTGAACTACAAGGTTGGTGGTTCAAGCTCACCAGCTGCTCGTCAAAAACCCTATACAGGGTGGCTATGGATTGGAGCTGACTCAACAGCACTAACAACAACAACATTGTTTATTCAGAAGCCCTGGTGATGTTGTAGGCTCAACACTGTACTGATAATCACAAGGTCGGCAGTTCAAAACAGGCAAACACTTCTCAGGAGAAAGATAAGGCTTTCTACTCCTGTAAAAAAATATAGCCTCAGAAACCCTATAAGGATTGCTATGAGATGGAATTGATTTGATGGCAATGTGTTTTGTTTTTTTTTTTTGTAGTCTGTTAGGTGCAGAGTTCTGGTGTGGTATTGTAGGATAAACACTGGACTGCTATCGGCAAAATTGGTGGTTCAAACCCACCAGATGCTCTTTGGAAACAGGGTCACTATGAATTGGAATCAACTCGACGGCATTTAACAATAATAACATTAAGAGTGTAATGCTATTGTTGTTGTTAAGTGCTGTGGAGTCAGTACAATAGCATTATGAAAAAGTGTGCAATAGCGTTATGAAAATGTTTGAAATATTCTGAGAATTACCAAATGTGACACAGAAACATAAAGTGAACACGTGCTGTTGGAAAAATGATGCAAACAGACTTGCTGGATGCAGGTTCTTTCAATTACACACAAAAAACTGCACAAAAATCCCCACAGCATTATAAAGTGACGTGCAATAAAATGAACTATGTCTGTACTACTCTGGCCCACCAAGAATTTAGACTAATTTCAGGATGATGGGCTTCACATTAGACCCAATGGCCACACTTCTTCACTTTTATTAGATTTGACTTTCTAACAGATCTTAGGAGCAAGTGTCGCTTTCCTATTAGCTATTTTCCCCACATTAGTCAATCTGGCAGAGTTGACCATAAGGATAGGGGTTTGTCTTGGGCTTCAATGAAATTTAATCTATGAGACCACTTAGAGTCTAAATGCCTGGCTTGGGGGTGTCAGAGGGACAGGTGGTATGGCTCTTCCTACCAGTAACTGCTGCAGCTCGGCGCCAATCACATCCTGCAGGTTTGTTTTGTCCTCTGGGCCCACGGCTTGTTTGTACTGCCACTTTTCAGGCACGAAGGGCCACTTCATTTCCTTTGCCTCTTGGATCAGGGTCCTTAACTCCCTGGGGAGTGAAGCTGAAAAGGTCAAAGTTCAGGTAAGGAAACTGCACTCAAAGAAAAGGCTGTTGAACTACCAATGTTATGATGAAGCACCTCAGCTGCAAAGAGACTTTTCCCTACCTTTTGCTGGCTGGCCTAAGCTGTTGGTTCTGACTCAGAGAATAATAGCGAGACTCTATCTGTCAGGGGTGGCCCTAGTCTACTTTGCCCTACAGGTAAATTGGGGTAGTCAGGCATTAAGAAAGGTTTTTAGCAGGAAGTAAAGTACTTCACTGACTATCTCTGCATGAAGAATCAGAGAGAGGATGAAGGAAACATTATTTTCCTTGTAAAATGAGAAAGGGACTGGGATGGAATGGCATTTTAGGCTTGTGGCAGCTGGATAATGCAGCATCAATTGTCCAATCCTTTTTTGTTTCTTCAAGACTACATTTGAGACAAGCAGATAAATATTAAAGATATAAGTTAGGTTTAAAATGTACCTATTAATCATGGAAATGACTTCCTTTATATTAATAAATATTAAGCCTGTTTCTGGATAACAAACCTACTTATACAGGTCCACAATGCCTTATCTAAATGTCAGTAACCCAGAAAGTTTTGGAAACAATTTTTGTTAACTTTGACACCTAAAGCAGACTTGAATTGAGTAGAGACTATTCAAAAACACTCTTGCTTATACTTTAAAAAATTTTGTTTGATCTATTCATTTTTGTTATTGCAAAAATATAGATAAGACAACATTTTCCAGCTCAACATTTTTTTTTTACTATGTCATTCAGTGAAATAAATTGCAGTAATCATCTTGTGTGCAGGCTGTATACAATAAGCACTGGACTGGGAACCACAAGGTTGGCGTTTGAGCCCATCAGCCACTCCACGGGAGAAACATGAGGCTTCCTGCTCCTGCAAAGATTAAAAACCTTGGAAATTGTATACAGGGTCGCCGTGAGTCAGAATTGACTCAAAAGGCACTTTACAACAACAGCAGAAGTCATCTTGCACAACCATCACCAAAACCCTTTGTCAAAATTTTCATCTTCATAAACAAAAATTTAATGCTTTTAAATCCATAATCCCCCTCATTCCACCTCTCTCCCACCCTTGGCAAACAGTATTAAACTCTGATCTCTATATATGAGAGGGCTTTAAAAGTTCATGGAAAAATTTTGTTATTTTTCAGTTCCATAGTCCCACAAACTTTTCAAAGCACCTTTGTATCTGTTTGTTCTTGTTGTTGTTAGGTACCATTGAATCGGTACCTACTCATAGCAACCTTATGCACAGCAGAAGGAAACACTGCCCAATCCTGGGCCAACCTCACTATCGTTGCCACGCATGAGCCCATTGATGCTGCCACTTTGCCAATCCACCTTGCTGGGGGTCTTCCTCTTTTTCGCTGACCCTCCACCTTACCAAACATGATATTTTTCTCCAGTGAATGGTCCATCCTGATAATATGACTGAAGTATGAGAGATGAAGTTTGGCCATCCTGGCCTCCCAGGAGTACTTGGCTGCACTTCTTCAAACACAGATCTGTTGGTTCTTTGGGCAGTCCATGGCAAATTCAATATTCTCCTACTCACCATAACTCAAAAGTATAAATTCTCCTACAGTCTTCCTTATTCACTGTCCAGCTTTCACATGCATATGAGGTTTTTTGAAAATACCATGGCTTGGGTCAGGCGCACCTTAGTGTTCACGCTGACATCTTTGCTCTTCAACACTTTAAAAAGGTCTTGTGCAAGAGATTTGCATAATGCAACACGTAGTTTGATTTCCTGACTGCTGCTTCCATGAGTGTTGATAGTTGATCCAAAAAGAATGAAGTCCTTGACAACTTCATTCTTTTCTCCATTGATAAGAATG